CATGAAAAGAAAGAGAGAGAGAGTGAAGCACAAGCTCAGTTTGGATGTGCCGAGTGAAATGCGATAGTCGCGAGAGGGCGAGAAAGTGTTGGCGGGCCTGTCCTTGATCCGATCTTGTCAGCTCCGGTTGCGCCAGCAACTCCGACCGGGCTGAGTTGCCAAGCCGGAGGCGGAGGAGGGGAGCGCACCAACAGACACACTTTCCTCCCTCTCCTCCCTCTCCTCCCTCTCCTCCCTCTCCTCCCTCTCCTCCCTCTCCTCCCTCTCCTCCCTCTCCCTCCTCAGCTCGTCTCCTAGCCAGTCTCCGCAAAACGCTCTTCCCGTCCAGCCTCGAAAGCAGCCCAGCCTGTGTGTGTGTGTGTGTGTGCGTGGGTCAGTGGAACGAAAAGACAGCATCTCTTTCTCTCGGACGCGGCGGTGAAAGGCAGATTAGCCGCGACGATAACGTCGCCACGTCATGCCGCTTTTGGATGCCCTTTTTTGGGCCCTGTTGCTCAACCCATCCCTCTGTCTGTCCATTCTTGCCTCGACACACCGACACATACACACAACCCCCACACTCTTTCGTTTCGCCTGTCTGGATGGGCATTAACGTGCCACAAATTGACGCTTTCCCAGCCAGACGCCAGCTCCGATTTTCCCACTAACAAGCACTCATGCCCAATACACATACACATACACACACATACACACACACACACACACATAAACACACAACAGTTTTGCAATCTAACAAGTCGGTTTGTCTCTCACATTGTCTCTCTGCCACTAGTTTGCTTGCGTGTGTATGTAAACGTGAATTTCGCAGCCAGCACAATCTTCCACCTTGTCTGTCTATCTCCGTCACTCACTGTGTCTGTCTGTGTCTCTGTCGTCCGTCGGTCGGTGTTCGGCAGGACACGAAGTCATTTCGTCGTACCGTCTGTGCCAGTTTGACTGAAACAGCACGACACTGTCGTTCGCAGCGCAAGTTCTCGCCTCGTGGCAACTGGCAGCCTCTTCGATTCGTCGATTCGTCGTCACGCCCGCTCGGACATGATTTGCAGACAGAAAGACTGATCGGATCGGACAACCGCCAACCCGCATTTCCACCACTTTCTCTCTCTCACACACACTCAATCTCTCTCTCCTTCTTGCATGTGTTTATAGGTTTAAATGTGCCCATTTGTGCACAGTCTTTGAGTGCATGTGAGTATGTGTTTATGTGCGATGTGTGCTTCAGGTGTTTGAGTGAAGTGCCTCCATGTGTGTGTGTATGTGTGTGTGTGTGTATGAGTGTGCTGCGAGGTGGAGAGATTGAATTGAAGCTGGCAAGTTGGTTTCTGCAAATGTGGCATGCACAAGCATTCGGCTGGCTGAGCTCGTTGAGTGAGTTACGCCGCTGTGGATGGATGGATGTGGTGTTGGTGCTACGGATGAGCTTGTTGCGCCAGCCAATGGCAACACACAGTCTGGCACACTGGCACACTGTCACACTCTGACACACACACACTGGGCTTCTTTTAATCCCACTCGTGTCAGACACATCGTCTTGCAGCGGCAAAATGTGTTCGTTGCTGAATAAATATTGTCTCGATTTGCCGTCACGTTGCTGCTCGCATCACCCTCTCAATTTGTCTGTATGTCTGTCTGTGTTTGCGTGTCAGTGCCAGTCTGTTTGTTAGTCTGTGTTTTGTACTCCGCCTTGACTGCCGATGTCGGTCTGTCAATCTTTCTGTGTCAATTGATGAGCCAGATCGCGTCGATTCGAGATTGTGTGCAGAGTGTGGAGCTTGTCGACGGCCGAGCGTACCTGCGGAAGTGTGTGTACATTTTTGTGCGTGTGTGTATGTGTGTGTGCATGTAAGTAGCTTGTAAGTAGCTTGTAAGTAAGTGGCAAACTTGGCAGCCTCTTTGCGGTGCTACGTACTGCCTTGACGGGATCTTGTCGCTTTGCCATAAATCTGTCCTACTGCAACTTTGCTCTCCTCTTCCACCTTTTATCATCATCAGCATCATCGGCATCATCAACATCATCCTCACTTTCCGCGTCATAATGCTCATCATCGTCGATCGCATACTCGTCATTCCCGCCATCATCTGCATGCACTGCAGCATCAGCATCAGCATCATCATTAGCAATTAATACGCATAGTTGAAGAGCAGTAGACAACGGTAAAGCTTGTCAGTCTGTCGGTGTGTCGGTGTGTCGGTGTGTCGGTGTGTCGGTGTGCCTGGTCAATTGGGCTGAGAGTGTTGTAGGAGAGGGCTTCGTGTCGAGTGAATGGGAAGAAGGGAATGGGCATAAATTGGACTGGAAGACCGGAAGAAAAAACAATTAGTACGTCCCATTTAAGTGCCCTGCTCCGCTCTGATCCAGCCCCTACACACTCTTGTCCTCTTTTATG